TGGTATTAACTCGTGCTGTTTTACCGGTCCGCTGTTCGCTGGCTCGAGCCTCCTGGCTTACGCCTATGCTCTGAGCGCGCGCTCCTCGGGCGCTGTGATTGGTCAGTGTTTTTCGTTAATAATTCAAAAACGAAGCCCCATCCGACATTTTTGCAAAGGAAATTGTTGTTCAGAATCGTCTCAGCTACCCCCATTTCCGACTCCTCCCCGACTTTTGGGACACCCTGCATAATTAAAAATTTTTTCTTCAGCAGTAAGCCTTTGTCGTGAGTACGGTTTTAATAGATATCTTTTCAAAGGATATGCATCATTACCCAATAGAACAAAGGGTGCTGAAGTGTCAGTTGACGGAATATTTTCATTCTCTGGTATGTTTAAAGTGTTTGCTTCAAACCGTTGATAAATATTTTAATCTAAAAAGGTTCCCCCATCACTTTGCTTACCGTAAGCCCCAACTTCAATAGCAATGAACTTGTAATTTGCATTAGCTATTCCCTACAATTAGAGATCACAGTTTTGAACGTGTATTAATTAATCCCTTAAGGGATTAAGAACACGTGTATTTTTAATACACGGGTACCCGGGTATCGAAATACACGGATATCCAAGTACGTACACGAGCATCGAAATACACGGATACGTATATTTAGATATCTGGATGTCCGCGTATTTCGATACCCGAGTACTCGTGTATTGAACATACACGGATTAAAACACGAATCCATTAATTACCCGTAAACCTGGGTATTTCGATACATGTGAAATAGAGATCTGTACCTGCAATACAATAGAATAAAAGCCCTTATAGTTGTAATATATCGATCCTGTTTGTTTGGGGCATTTCATGCGAATATGTTTCCCGTCTATACAACCGATGCAATTGGTGAAATTCCATTTGTTGTAAAAATCACTCGCGATGGTTTTCCATTCCTCTGTAGTAGGCAAAGACATATGTATACCGCAGAAGCACTCCCATATAGCTTGGCATGTTTCGTAAACCATGTTTCGAATAGCACAGTGTGAAATTTTGTAGGAGAAGCTTAGTACTCGAAATGACATCCCATTTGATAGAAATCTCCAATAGGGAACAACTAGTATACAATAAATCAACATATCCATTAAAAGAATAATTGAAAACACTAACATAACACAACATAACATAACTATCTTAACATAACATTGATTAATTGTTTTTTTTTTTCACTAATTTGAGGTGAAGCAGCCAAAATTAAATGGCGAGATTTGAGGGACATGTTTCGCAAGGAATTGAGTAAGAATATTAAAAAACGGAGTGAAGAAGTGGTTTGATGAAAATATCCAAAATTCAGGAACTACTATTTCCCCTGATTCTCCTGAAAAAGAACTGGAATCACCACCACAAACTATAGAATCACCACCACAAACTTTAGCATCACCACCACAAATTTTAGAATCACCACAATCACTTCAAAATATAATAAATGAATTTGCGCAACCTTATAAAAAAAAATTGCAAAATTGAATAATGCTAATACGATTAAAAAATTGATGATTTTGGAAGAACAAAAAATAAAAATATTGAAGGAGAAAACGAAACAAAACGAAGATGCAGACTACCATTTTTTAATGAGTTTATTGCCTTATTTGAGGAAAGTACCTGATGAAAGAAAAATGATTGTGAGAAATAAACTCCAAAATGTGTTTTGTGAAGAGGATCTTTTGGGGGGATTCAGAGATCAACATTCTACACATAATTATGGCGTTTCCGCATGTGGTTCATCGACGAGTGATACTTCGGCAAATGGTTCACAAGCGGAAACTCTACTTGGTGCTCCTCAACATGAAGACCTTGATTCGTTCATTTCAAGTGTAACGCATTAAAAATGCAAGTGCAATTTGTTCAATTTTACTGTGTATTTTATTTCACTTGCCTGTATTTTCATTTTTAAATATTTCGAATTTCCATTGAAGTAAAGAACTGAATACATTGTTAAACTTTTTCTTACCTTAATATTACAGCCAGTCTTTGTTTTGCCGAAATACATACATGAACATTGGAGAACTTTGTGATTCTTTCCTCTATCTCCTTCAGTATATATTCAAATGCTGCTGGTCTCATTCTGAAATACTCGAAAAACTTTTCCGGTTGCTCCCACAATTCTTGAAATAACATTTTAAACTCTCCTTTGTCGTCTCTACTAGAAAATAACCCGTTGACATGCTCTATTTTACCATCATTCAACAACATTAACTTCATTAACGGACTTTCAAGAAAATAAAATTCATCAAGTCCGTCCACCTTTGCTGGGCGGCAGAAACGTACTGACTGAAAGAATAGACGCAGGACGCACGAAAAAATCAAACTATCAACTAGTTCTGACGCCGTTGTAAATGTTCTGACATGTTTTTCGTTGCTAGTGTAAACACTCTCATTGAAAAATAGGCGTTTGTTTGTTCAGACGAATTCGTCAGAACTCGTCCGAACATATTTTCGTCCGAATTCGCATTCATAGTAACCGTAGCAACAGACTCAGACGCGTACGTGTATTCCGAGCCTAAACAGTCGACGACTGAACGCCTACACATACAGTGCCACAAACGCGTAGCTATACGCAATATTCATTGTGTAGCAGCAATGGTATTTTACAAATATCTCGGAAACTAAGGCCAAGCGACGGTTATATGTATAGAAACAAGTTGTTCAAAATGTTGATTTCTACAACATATTTAAAAATCATCGAAATCGGAGAGGATGTACCTGTTCTCTATAATTACCGGGGGACCGAGCGCACGACGAACCGAAGGCGACTCCAAAACGAGTATCGCATGACCGATGAGTTACCAATGGTAACGCGTAAACAGAGCAAGCAACCTGACGTTGCATTGCTATAATTGGTAATTAGCCATATTGAATTAAACAAATGATATAATGTTGTAGAAGGATCTGGTCACGGAATGGGGAAGAGCTTTTTCACACGACGATACGCGTATGCGATACGTATCTGCTAGAAAGATACTTATGCGATACTGTATCCAACTAATTTCTAAGCTCGGCGTTGATCATTTGTTTTTCAGTTAAACATATCTTCTCGTTTGAGAAACACGTGTTCTAAGTTAGTGAAAACTTTTCTGAAATAATGAATGAGATTGAAGCTTTATCCATTTGGTTTCTACATAAAAAAGCTACTAAAAGGAGAAAAGTTAAGAGAAAATATTGGGTTCATTCCATTAATAATATAAGAGACGAAAAGGGAGCTTTTCATATTTTATTCGAAGAACTTTGTAACGATCTATGTAAATCCTTCAATTATTATCGGAAGTCTAAAATTTGTTTATGAGGTAGGTTCGACGATATTGCGCAGCGTCGTGTGAATGACGACCTGACGCAGAAAAAGTTGCCGGCGGCCGACCAGCCGCGGATACCGAAAATCAGTATCGCGATAATGTATCTCGCAAGAATCGCCGTCTGAACGCTTCCATAACATTATGTGTACCATCGGCTCGAAGACGTTGTCTTCTGGAAAGAGGACCGTGTTGAACCGCACGGCACTTACCCCAAAACCTTCATTAAATAAGCGTCATTGTTTTTCTGGAAAATAAATTCTATTTCTAACATATCTTTATGGTATTATATTTAATCAAGGAGTCACCAGAAAAGGGTAAAGTGTACGAATTGTATTTGTATTTGTAAGTTGAAGTTGAGAAATTAGGTTTTGGCCACGAAAAGCGGGCCGCCAGATCACTTTGCGTTGGACAAAACACCGTGTTTCGATTTCGACTGTCGGGAAAGAATAAAGCGATACATATGTATTTATATGTATGAGTTTGAAAGCCTAGTTGTCATCTGTTTTTCGTTCTCTGAAAATAATTGATAAGGAAATGCCTAAGGATCTTTACATTTTGCCAACGTCGCCGGAGCATAGGAAGAGACAGCGAAAATAGAGGAACATTTACGAGTCTAATTAATTATAACCAATTGTCATAACAATATCGTGTTTGGTCTCATTTTAACCGAAAAAATTTCAAAACAAGTTTTATTGTTACGTCAGTATTGTCTCGCCGATGGGTCATTCCACGTCAAATGGATCACTTTTTTGTCGATGTCTCGGATTTTGTTACAAATGAAATATATTGCAGCTTACGTAAAACGGCGGGGGGGGGGGGGCGGGGTGTTGAAATCATCATTTCGCTCGTTTCGAAACCGTTAGAGAAATACAAGCCTTCAAATATTGCGATTTTTGCCTATTTTCGTAAAAATGGGTTCTACATTTGAATTGTTCTCGCGATCTCTTTCAAAACATGTTTATTTCTCAACTCGCTTAACCAAACATTCATACTTGTTACCTGTCGCTCGATCTCATTTGTTAAAATCCTTCTGGAACTGTTCATTCTATTGACCTACTCTTTTTTTATTTTAATTGTGAAGAATTGCTATTCCCGAATGTATTTTTATTCGATTGAAAACTAAGTTTCAAATATTTAGTATAGTATTTGGAAAATAAACATTTGTTTATAATTTGTAATATTACAAAAATCAGATCTGCTCCAAATAAAAATAAATTCAAAAAGAGTAATGTCTCCTGATTAAAATAAAGAAAAGTAGGTCAATAGGATGAACAGTTCCAGAGGAAAATATCCATATTTACGAAAATGGGTAAAAATTGCATTATTTGAAGGCTTGTATTTCTCAAACGGTTTCGAAACGAGCTTCGGCCTGCGAGGTGCGCTCACAATACATTAGTTCGTGCATTCGTCGTGTTTTTTAATAACTTATTTAATAATTTTAGCAATTTATTTTTAATGTTTAATGATAGTGTTTAGTATTCGCGTTTAGTGTTTGAAAGATTATGGGATTTTGTTCATTGTGTTATAAAACCATGCATACAATGATAACATGTTTCAGATATCTTTACTGTATAATGTTCTTTTATTTGACGAATAAATTGACGCTAACGACTCGCTGTTTACGTTACGTGTTAACGGTCTCCCGCTTCGTCCCCAGGACCCCGCGAGCGTCCGGGTGGATCGAGTAGCTCGAGCGACGCGGGGAGCAAGGGACGAGCGAGAGGTGTCGCGCGTACCGGCTAAGCAGCGAGCCAATCAGTCCGTTATCGGAATTCAATCGAGCATCATTTCGATCCTTTTGTTCCGCCGATCCTGAGACGTGCTTAGTAATCGATCGGAAATTTCTCCACGTTTGGTTAAATCCGAAAGATTACAACATTTGTAGTAGTCGAGTAACTCGCGTCGGTTAGTGATAACCTTTTGTTGTAACCGTTCGCGTTTTGAACGTTTACGATAAACGATTGATCAGTATTGGCGGGAATTTTCTGCTCATCATCTTGAACTTGTGGTAAAAGTGGACAAAACCGAATCGTACCTGACATCGGACTACTTCACCACCGTGAGGACGAGTATTTGAATCAAGGAGCAACCATCGACGAGTGGATCATCGCCATGACTCCGTCGACCGTTGTCAAACCGTCCAGTGGTTCTCAGTCGCCGCAGGAACCTGACGCTGCCTTACCTCTGCTCAACCTTCCGAACTTTGCAGGGGAACTGTTAGCTTGGGAAAGTTTCAGGGATCGGTTTACCTCCTTGTTGCACAAGTCGATCAAACTATCTAAGGTGCGTAAACTCGAGTATTTAATGTCTTGCCTGACGGGTGACGCAGCGAAGATGCTCGCACGTACGGCCATCACGGATGGGAATTACGACGGAGCTTGGGCGTCTTTGGAGAAACGGTTTGGCAATCGGCGCGTTCTCTCCGCTGCGCATATGCGTAGATTGATCAACGTACCGTCGGCAACGAAAGATACCCAGTCCGAGATCAAGCGTTTGCTGAACGAATTTCGCCAGACCCAGGAGGCGTTCAAGGCTCTGGCCAAACCTGTCAAGGAATGGGATGAATGGTTTCTGTTCCTGATGGTGGAAAAATTGGACAATACTACAAGACTTGCGTGGGAGGTGTCTCTTACCGATCCCCTCGCTATTCCACTGTACGAGACATTGGAAGCGTTTCTGGAAAATCGAGTACATGCCTTGTCGTCAGCGCAGACCGCAGAAACCATTCCATCTCCGAAACCACTGACGTCAACACGTTCCGCCGGAAAACCAGTGTCCCGTACCACGATGGCAGTAAAGGTCGACGACTCCAGGAAAACGAAGAATAACCGACAGTGTCCATTATGTGCGGGTGGTCACTCTCTGGGATCCTGTAAAAAATACAAAAATATGACCTCCAGTGAACGCCGTGATTTTGTTCGGAAATCTGGGGTTTGTTTTTCGTGCTTGGTTTCAGGGCATCAACTGCAAACTTGTACCTCCAACTTTCGGTATTGGGTGTGCGGAGACACGCATCATACTCCAAGGGGACCGAAGATAATCGCTCCAAGTCGCCAGTGCCAACGTGCTCTTCCTACGCCGTGAGCTCGCGTGCAATCACTCTCCTCGCCACCGCGCGTGTACTCCTGGAGGGCCCAGACGGAAGGACAATGAATGTACGCGCCCTACTGGACTCGGGATCGGAGTGCTCTTTCTTCAGCGAGTGGTCAGCGCAGACACTTCGACTTAGAAGACGGTCGGTTCGTGTTGAGCTTACCGGTTACCAAGGTACCAAGGTAGGTACGGCTCGATCAGAAGTCTCGGTAGAGCTCCGCTCTCCTGTCAACCAGGAGTTTCGGATTTCCTTGGACGCGCTGGTCACCAAGAGCCTCACTGCACCCACGCCATCTCACCCCCTGGAAAATGGCGATTGGGACCACATCAAAGGACTGCAGCTAGCAGATCCAAACTTTAATTTACCAGGCTGTGTTGACGTCCTTCTGGGAACCGACGTCTGCGGCCGATTGTTGCAGGAGAGACGTGAGGGACCTCATGGGACTCCCACAGCGGTGCTGACTCCGTTTGGCTGGACGCTGATGGGATCGACACGACCTTCGGAGCCGGGGAGGGCAGCGCGGGTGCTGCACGTTCGTCGTCACGAGTTGCCAGACCTGCAGAAATTCTGGGAGCTCGAAGAGGTTCCAGTGGCAACTCCTTTGACTCCTGATGAACTTACTTGTGAACGTTTGTTCCAGGACACCACACAACGTGACTCCTCAGGTCGCTACGTAGTTCGTCTGCCTTTTAGATCAACACCTCCCCGGGTGGGGACCTCTCGACCTGCTGCATTGCGGATGCTGCTTTCGGTCGAGCGCCGACAACAACGGGGTCCAGACCTGTATCAGAATTATGTGGATTTCATGGAAATCACGAACGGATATCACCGCTTGTGACACATGGTCGCCGCCCCAGGGTCTCTCGCCGTCGAGGATAAAGGATGCTATATACCGCATCACGCTGTGTGGAAAACTACGGAAGGACAGCAGAAGATTCGGGTGGTATTCAACGCATCGAACGTTAACGCTGGAGGATCTTCGCTCAACGATGCGCTCCTTCCTGGTCCGAAATTGCAAGCGGATCTCTGGGCAGTCGTAACTCGTTGGAGGCTGTTTAGAGTGGCGTTCTCGGCAGACATCGAGAAGATGTTCCGTCAAATTCTGATCCATCCGGATGAGCAGAATTGGCTGCGGATTCTGTGGAGGAAACACCCAGGTGAGAGGGTAACAGAATATGGTTTGAATACGGTAACGTATGGAACCGCTCCAGCTCCCTACCTTGCTCATCGAGTTCTGAGGCAGCTTGCCTTCGATGAGGAGAACCAATTCCCCTTGGCCTCCCAGGTTCTGCGCGGCAATACATATGTAGACGACATATTGGCTGGCGCAGACAGCGCCGAGGATGCCAGGAAAATTCAAGGGGAGTTGATTGAAATCCTCGCCTCGGCTGGTTTTCCCCTTGACAAGTGAGCCAGCTCGGATAAAAGAATTCGCTCATCGTTAGTCGATTACAAGATGTTCCAGGAACCCGAGGTTCACGACGCGCTGGGTCTCAGATGGGATACGGTCCAGGATACCCTTTCGATTCGGGGTAAGCCGGCTTTCACAAAGCCGTTCACAAATTATAATTAAGCAAAAAGAAGGTTAGAATGGAAATGTCTTGCTCTCACAAACGACGTGGAAGGGCTTATTCTCTGAAACGTAGGTTATTCAGACCGAGACAATGTGTGGGAAAGCAGTCTCGCACTGTCGAAAGTACAGTACATACGTCAGAAGTATGTACCGAAGGGTAGGAAAATGTATTAGATACATTTACCGGTTGCGATACCGCTACATCGTCTGTAACGTGTACAAATTCGTCCGTGGATAGATGCGCTGACCACAGTTCAGAAACTGTAGAACATGAAAGAAGTTCAGAAGCGCATTGTTTCCTGGATGAAATACATGTGGAGACAAGTTATGCGGCTATGTTGCAATCAACATCGCATATACAATAAGTGCACCATCGCATCTGCAAAACGATACGGACGAGGATATCGAAAATATCGTTTTGCAGGAAGATCAAAACATCGACGTAGATTGTTTGTCTTCCATTGAGGTCACTGGACGGAGCATTGCCAATGTTGGACATATCTTTGCAGAACTGCAAAGAATATCGACTCATTGGAATAACGAATGCCGTTTCAGTGACCTTTGCATAATTAAAACAATCCCTCGTGGTCTGAAAACCAAAATGTTGTGAAATGTCGAATGTGTCACTTCGAAGATAGTTTTTGGAGTGACCCGACAGACAACAACATGTTGGATGTCAATAGAGGTGCCGTTTGTGGCACTATATTGACGGGGATTGGCCACAAGCAATTAGAAGAATTGCTGGCTGCTGTCGATGTTCCGTGTATGACAAATAAAACGTACTTAAGCGTGTACTGAAACGTTTGCTGCTGCTGCAGAAACAGAAATGCGAGTGGCTGGCGAAGCTGAAAAGCAATTGGCGCTTGAAAGAGACGATTTTATAAACGGTATTCCCCACATCCCTGTGATAACAGACGGTTCCTGGATGAAAAGAACGTATCACAGTGGTGGTTAGGATTCTCCGTCCGGAACCGCACTTATCTTGGGGTTTTATACACAAAAAATTTTATTCGTGGGGGTTAGAAACAAATATTGCGTTGTTTGTGCAAAACCAAGCAACTCAAACCAAAAACCGAAAGAGTACGTCTGTTACAAAAACTGGGGACGTGCTCAGAGTTCCCCTAGCATGGAAAGCGATATTATATTAGAAGGCTTTCGTGCTAGTTTGGAACAACACGGTTTAATATATAGCCAATATATCGGTGATGGTGACAGCAATGTCCTCAAAAAATTGAGAGATTTGCCACCATATCTAGACATTGTTGTGGAGAAGGTCGAATGTACCAATCATCTTCTCCGCAACTTAGCAAAAAAATTAGAAGAACTGAGTTCAGTTGGTAAAAGGGACACCTCGAAACTGAGAAAAGCTATTGCAGAGAACGCTACACACACCGTAGCGCTATAGTAAAGGCTGCAAAGTTTCGACGCAATAATGAAACATGCTGGGAAGAGAAAATTGCAAATTTTGTTAAAGATTTGCAAAATATACCCAGCCATGTGTTTGGGGAACATAAAGATTGCGCCTCGTTACAATACTTTTGCGACGGAACGCGAAAGGAAAACGAGACAAATCTTGTTCCCCAATTGCAAATGAGGGGGTTCTATGATAAAATAGAGTATGCAATGAAACGCATTACAGAAAATACGAAGAGCTTGCTCTATAAATATACCAGCAACTCAGTGGAAAGTTGCAACGCAATTATTTCCAAATGTATTGGCGGTAAACGTA